AGATCAAACTCTAATGCAAGCCTGAAATTATATTGTGGAAACTGCTTTCATGTGCTACTTTTGTGATGACATTTATAATGCAATGTTTGTAACAATGCAACTTCATCATTTTATAAATATCAATTTACCATTAAGAGAGGAAGGAACATCAAAAAAAGACAAATGCAAAGTTACCAGCATTTCAGCTTTGTTTTAATTGAACTAGTCTTGTTCAGATAAGCCTGTCTATCTCTTACAAAAACAACAGTTTATAGTTTAAACTGTGAAATTGTGTGTGTGTGTGTGTATGTGTGTGTGTTGTAATTATGGTGCCTGCTAACAATTTCATACTGCCACATTGCACATATGGCTTCCAAGCTAGCTTTATCTGAATCTTTGTGAATCTATTCTCCATGCTATTAAACTGAGCACATTCCACATCGTTCAAAAGTAATTACACTTTTGTCTAGAGTGTAGGAGACTGCTCTCCCCAAACAATGAAATTCTCATTATTAGAGCTGGCACAATAACGGCACTGGTGTTCACAACACTGAGCATTGTACCATCACAATAACTTATCCTAAGCTTGATGCACAAAGGTACACTGGAAATTAAAATTTCTCTAAAACCACTGTGGGGTTTTTTTTTTTAATAGACATTCTTTAGCTTAGTATAATTAGAGTCCTATTTGACTTTTTAAAAAGCTATATGCATTCAGATTACCATTCTCCTCGCAACTTCTGAATAGTAGCTAAGTGCTGTAGCCACATGTTGTTCTGATCCAACACTATTCACATGCTGACGACCCCAGACCAACAGGGGAAGTGCAGGCCAGGATGTACGTGATAAGAGAATTCAAATGCAGCACTAAACAACCTTTCATTCTGGACAAGCGGAGGAAAAGTAGTTGTGTTGGTAAGCTCTGTGACCAGTAGTACTGTTATTTTTAACAGGACCAAAATTTCTTAATACAATTCCCGAGTTACAGAAGAATAACTTCATTCACCACAGAAATGCAACATTTTTTGGCGTGAAGCAATAAAGCTATTTGACAGTGCACTGCAGTATTACCTATAAATGTGAAGCACTGCTGACAAAGAATTCTAAGTCTCACTGAAAGTGCAGGACAAATGTGGGCTAGCAGTGCAGCCACGCAGCTTGGAACAACGGGACAGTGGCAAAATTGCACCTTACCAGTTTGATCTTTTGGTCATAAATTTTTTTTTTTTTTTTTTTTAAACTCGTGCAGCATTTGATTAACATTTTACAGTTAAGAAGAATGGTAAAATTTGACCACAGTATATCATGCTCATGGTATACTTGAATCAGTGTGTATAGCCTTGACACCTACTTTCAGAAATTAGCACACAGACACCGCTGGTGAGATCAGTAGTCTTGAGAGGTGGCAAAAGCAACATGGTAAGGCAGACAAATAGTAACAAATAAAATAAACCCTCATAACTTAGATGAGCTAACAATCATCTGTGCTATATAAATACTGTAGCCTTCATAGATTTCTTCAAAACAGGTACTGACTGACACCGTAATCCTCAAGCGTTTCCCTGCTAAGTTTACAGCCTTGTAGGAACTTCATAAGCGGACTCTCAGATATATTCTAGGTCAAATGACTTGTCTTGTATTTTCTACTGAATCTCTGGTTTACTTCTGACAAATTATTGTTTCTTTTCTTACCAGTGGAACAGCTTTCCTACTTGCAATAAGTATCTAGTTTCTTCTGTCAAGAGGAATGGAGTTTGGGACAGAGTTGCCTCTGCCTTTCACAGAACCACAGAATGATTGCAGTTTACAGGGACCTCCAGAGGTCATCTAGTCCAAACCCACTGCTTGAGCAGGGCCACCAAGAGTCAGTTGCCCAGGACCAAGCCCAGCCAGCTTTTGAGTATCTCCAAGCAGAGAGTCTCCACAGCCTCCCTGGGCTACCCGTTCCTATGCTCAGTCACCCCCACAGTAAAAACCATTTCCTGATGTTCAGATGGAGCCTCCTGTGTTTCAGTCTGTGCCCACTGCACCAACCTTTCTCTGGCTGCAGTTCCAGCATTCTCACAAACACCCTGTTCACGTTGATGGGAGGACGGGTTTTGCAGCTTTTTGCCAATTTTGGTCAGGTTTGAAGATTCCTTTCTAGTGATTCTGCCCCCCTTTTACAAAAATGTACCCAGCATTCCATGCTGTCTCTCTAAGTTGGCATCTGTTGTAGCTTGGTGAAGTGCAACACAGTAAATTTTGAAAAGTCTAAGTTGGGTAAACTGCGGAGTTACCATTCTGGTGCCATCAGCCCTTGACCTTCAGGATCCTAGGATGTCCCAGCTGGCAGGACTTGTAAAAGCAAGCACAGCTGGAAGTAACCTATGAAACAGAGGGTCAATTAGCAGCCAGAAAAGTGAGGCCAAGAAAGCGATTCTCAAGGTTGAAATAGTTTTCCTAACTGTTCCTTCATGACCTAATGCCGAGAGGCAGAATATGAGGAGGCAGGGACGGCTGTGGCGACACGAGGAATTCAGTTACGCAGCCTGCTGATGAGGCCAAGCTGTGTAATTCCATACCTTTCCCAGATCCCTTGGCTGTGGCTTTCTTCTCCCAAGATTGTTCCCTAAGCCAACTGGGTGTCGCACATGTAGCTAACACAGAAAGATCTCTCCGGATCTATACCACGTCTATCCCTTGGGAGCAGAGTCTTCAGCCAACAACCATGCACAAAGCAGTATGGTTTAAGGGGGTGTAGCAGAGTGATGCACCGCATGATTTCAGACCAGTTGTATGTCTTATCCTGTCTTACTGGACATTGGAGAGATCTGTAAGGGTGTACCCTGCTAAGGACAGCGTGTGGCTGCAAAATGAGAACTCCATAGTCACTTGCAGACTCGGTTAGTAGGTGTAGTAGCACAGCTGACAAGCTATTAAGAAGTGTGAAGCACACTGCTGGAGCTTTATCAATAAAACTGTATTGGACCGCACCGTGTGGTGGTGTGTGCACATGTGCATACACCTGGATTTGCTTCCCAGAGACTACAGAACAGCACAGAATGTCAATTCAAGCAGTATAAAAGTGACCTCTGTAATGTTACCAAAATGAATACCCTTTGGGAATGACTTCTGCAACTGCTAATCACCCAAACTGAAGTCATCCAAAAGTTATCCAAGCACTATGTTCAGTTACTTCTTTCTTACACGACATACTACAACAGCAGAGCAAGTGATTATGTATATTTTACTCATTTACATTGATCTCTTCCTTCTTTCTAGAGACACACAGGCTACATCCATTCTGACCTACCCGGATAATGATTTTTACAAGACACTCTTCACTAAAAAAGAGATATTACCAAAACATCATGTTTATACAAACTGACAATTTTCTTAAATCTGTATGAAGACAAACCGAGCCCCTACAACCTCTCAAACATGCTTGAGGTAAGCCTACAGCACCTCTCTACTGCAGCCAATCTGTCCAAAAAATGCAATAATTCAGTATCTTGTATTATAAGGAGACAGAACACATTGCTTTGACATCACATTAAATACAGCCTTCATAGCAGAAAGTCACACTAGATGATCAGCTAAATTTCTTGGTCTTAAAAACAATAAATTAATAAAGAAGCTAGTTAAAATCAGTTAAAGAGAAGTTAAGTGTTTCAGTGAGGTGTAGTTAAATATATAAAACATACGCTAAAAGATGAAAAATAAACAACCTAGAAAAAGATAATGACATGTCTTCCCTCAAGTTTTTTGCAAAGATGCTCTTTCTTCATTTAAAGTTGCAATAACACAAAGTAAAACTAAATATTACAAACCACTGCTTGAACTTAAGCATTCGACCAAATCGGAAGAAAAACTGATCAGGATCAGCGAGTCCTTTTGTCTAGGAGAGCAGCTTCGGTGAATATCCAGTGACGTGGTCCTATGAGAAATAATAATCCCTGAGGCTTTTTACTTAGGGCTTGTTACATATGCGTAATGAGCTGTAAGGGCTTTAATACCACTATGGAGCTGTTGCAGGCTTTTATGAAAATACACTATCACCTATTTCGCAATGCCTTTTTAAAAGCCTTTCAAACATGCAGGTCCGTTCATTATCTTCACTTAAAGTGAAATTGTCACTGCCCTTGTCGAAGTGGGGGACTAACAGAAAAGTTACAGTCAATTTGTCAACAGGCAAGAGCTGTGTGTGTTTACAACAGACAGCTCTGTCGAGGCGCCTAAGTCCTGGGGTCTCAACGCCTTTCCCTGCACCTTTCAACCTTTATAAAAATGTATCACAGTACTCTGTATGAGGGGCCCAAACACGTCACGTTATAACAGTGACACTACGTTACTAGTCAGAAACATAGCACTGCTTTTTGTGCTTTTTGTTTGCCTGTTTTTAGATAAAGCCAACTCTGGACTTCCAGTGGGCTACTAAGTGTAATGAATTGAGTGCACGGTGTCATTTGTAAAGTGCACAAAAAGGTGGGAATTCACAAGCGAAAAAGTGGTAGGCTGATTTAATTCCATAAGCACAGCAAATTTTCTTGCAGGTATCTGTGGCATGTGGAATACACATCAGTGGTGAATGTTTAAAACCAGCAAAATCCGAAGTTGCTTTTTTTTTTACCCTTTACACAGACTTCCATGCCTTGCTATTACATAAGCTTGGCATTGCGGTAATATTTCAGACACGACGCCAAACATGACTCTCACTTACAGTGTTCCAAAACCATTTACTGTTTGCTGAACACATTCACTTCAAATTCACGTCACCATAGCTAAAAAATTTTAGCACCCTAAATGCCAGCAGGCAAAGGTGACGAAAAATGGAGTTTGCACTGCAAGTCGTTTTTTAGCATGTGTAGTGGAGGGTAGAGGCAGTCCAGCCAGGTCAAAGCTTTCACATTATTGTAGCATGTTCTGTACGTGTAACTGCGTATTGTCTACTCCATAAAGTACAGATCTGGATGCCAAACTACTGCAGAGGCAGAATTCAAAGAATGGATGCAAGCACAATAGACCATTAGCAAACCTACCATTGTGTTGTGCTGAGAAGTGGGAGTCCTATGGCCACAGTTCTCTTGCGTCAGCAGAGAAACAGGCTGAAATTCCTCAGAGTGAGGCTTGTTGGGAAAACTCACATGCAAGGGAAGGTGAAAGGCTGGGAGCCCGTCACTCTCCTCTTCTCCCACTTTCTGTCTGCTTGTCACCATGGCTACCTCTCCATCTGCTTCCCCATACGGAGAGGCTGGTCGCTTGGAAGACATCCTGGAAGGAACAAAAGAGGAGAAAATAATGAAACCTCCAAATAAATCCTTAATGCCGTCATTGTGTGGTTAGGGGCCATTGTAACAGAAATGCCTTTTTTTGTGCTGGCAGAGAGCAGGAAACCATCCAAATACCACTGCAAAGCATACACAGTCGGGAACAATGGCCAAGCAGGTAGCAACAGAACAGTGGCTTGTTTGTTGTGAGAATAATACGCTAATATACCACTCTCTTGTATTCTGGCTTCTTAAACATGAAAATTCACTTAAGAAGACTGTATAATGAAATACAATTCCTTTAAAAAAATACCCATCTGGTTTTGCATTTGCAAGAGACTGTAAGAAGACAGAATGTCTCCCGATACAAGCTATTGTCAACTCAGCTTTTGAGGAATAATCATCTGCACGTATTTAACCATAACTGATAAAAAAGTAAAGTGAAATAAAATAAAATAACTCGCTAGCAAGCCAAAACGTTTGTGTTTACAGAACTTCACCCATGTGAACAACAGAGTGTTACAGTCATGTTGCAAAAATCTTTTCAGGTTCGCAGATCTGGGATAGTTAAGCAATTTAATATTTGGACATTAATATTCTAAGTTTTTTGACCACACAAACTCAGCGTTGTACTAAGTGAATGAAGATTTGTTATCAAGATACCCTATACTTCCTACTTACAGCCAGATCACAAAAAAATACATGTAAATGTAATGTACAGCTACATCTATATTTAAAAGAATACACAAGCAAGACACACAGAGTACGTATTATAAAAATCACACACAAATCTTGACTTTAAATTCAGACCCACATTCCAAAATTTCAGAGGCTGTCTGATAACACTGTGCCGAGACAGCACGTGTATACCTTCTACTTTTGGAAAGTCTGAAAGCATCCTTACGTCATTGGAAAATCCAGTTTTCATCCAAACCAGACACTACTGAAAATCCTACAGGACAATCTGAACCCAGAGCACCTTTTCAGCTTGGTCTTCAAACTAGAGGGGTCCAGTGAAGTATTAAAATGCAGACGACTTCTGGGATTAATTACACCAACATTGTTCATGAAAATCAGGGTATGTGTATGGATGGCATAATGGGCCGCTGTGCCAAGCAGGGGCTTCTGTAACAAGGAGTGGAATGAGAAATACGAAATCCTACAGGCGTAGTCAGAAGAAGAAAAGAAAGAAAAAAAAAAGAGAAATATTTCACAGAAAATAGTAAGTTATGGACAACGAAACTGAAGACTATTGTATGTAAAAGCTGAAAAGCCAGGCTGAAGTAACACCGCTCCTCCTCAAAAATCTAGTATTTATGATTCTAATTATCCCGTTTTGATTTTCCACTTCACAGTTAAAGGACTGCATTTCAAAAGGCCAGCAGCCTCTTGAACCATGTGTGGGGCTGCTGTGAGGTGGAGCATGTCCATACGATTTGGCATATTGAGCACGAAATGGTTCTTAGCAGCAGTCAACTGGGTCTGAAAACAAACAGTGACTTTAAACAGCCCTTTGTTAGGACTTATTTTGTTTCTAATGATCTCATTTTGAGCTTTGCCTCCTGAGCCAAGTTAGATTATATTAAAAAAAACCAAAAAAAAACCCAAAAAAAACCCCTCAGACAAAAAAATCCCTACCAGAACCTATACTCAGCTGCATATTGCCTGTTCTTAACACCACCTATTGCCTGTACACAGAGAAGCAATCTGTATTTTCTATTAATGTTTGACTTAGTCCAACAGACTAACGCTTCATACATCCTACCTGAATTCTGTCTTCTAGGCTTTCCCACCTACGTGTCTGCAATGAAGCATATGTATAAAGACAGAGATCACCAGATAGACTCTTACTGGCAGTTTTCTACTAGCCCACTGAATTCAGCATTTTACAGCTATGTTTGATGTGACAGATCCCAAGCTTTTCTTCTGCAGAAACCATGCAACTCCCTCCTGAAGTTACTGTGAATTATTCATATTCTGCATCACACCGCACCAAGGTACACATTTGCTATTGATTCCGACTATAACATTTTGATTACTTATTTCAATGTTGCCTTAACAGAAGCTTGGGTTTTACAAAATCTCTTTCTGAAAATCAGCACTAAGCGATTGTCTCAATTCTGGCAAACAAAAAGGGAGGGACGCAACATCATTAGTCAATTATGCCACAGTAAGATCCTATATTTCAGGACATCTAAATTCAATAAGAGGACTGAAAAATATTGTAAACCATCTACAAAACTCTCCACTAGTATTCACTTTGACAACACAATATGCAGAGAGGGTGCCTTGCTTTGTATTGATGATTTGTATTATATACTTCATACCCATGTTGTGTTCAAAATTCTTACTGCTGTTAACCCAGAATAACCCAGATTCTGTCACATTGCTTCATAAGGAGAATTTGACTATCATGTTGAAGTAAAGCTCTTCCACTAACTTTACCAGTGAATATGCGGTTTCCTCTACTGCGTTTAGTTAGCGTGCTGCAGATCATCTTCGCCTTCTGCTTGTCACTGTTCCCAACAGGGATGATATTTTCTGCAGGGAATTTATAAAAACAGCCAAGGAAGGCAATAGAGGTGACCACCTCTATGCACTAGCAATAACAGAGATTATTATGGTTTTGATCTAAAATGAAACCCTATGGTCTGACTGTAGGCCAACCTACAGTGATACTAAAGCGGGAAGACGACATTTTTTCCTTCCTCACACAGCTCTTATAAGACCCAGTTTAAATTACAAGCCTTGTGCTGCTCATGATGCTAGAAGGCTAAGAAATTGCTAAAATAGCTAAGGTGGTGAAGTTATATATCTAACTTGCACCAGTCTTCCAAGTGACTTGGACACTGAAAGAAAGAGCTGCACAACCCTGGGTAAGGGTCACACAGCTCAGAGGACGACCGCAATTTGTTTTCAGGTAGCTCTGTCCATAGGCAGCACAAGTTAGGCATCATCTGGCCTTTGGCAGGTCTCATCATCATCTTTAACCTCAGACACAAACATCACAGTTACACAGAAATCACCCACTCCTTAGGAACATCTGGGAAATTTCCACAAGAAAAGGGGCAAATTAAATAAACAAATAAATCCATATCTACTTTTGGAAATGTCTTCCAAAAGGACAGTAATTATCAAAGCCTATAGCAGCAAACGATCAAACCCCCGATAGGTTCACGAGCAGAACATGATACAAGGTAAATTCGTTCACAGGTGGTCTTTCGTTATTTCTGCAGCTTTATTGGTCCCTTTCGTGCATTTGAAATGCTCCCACACTGCGTATTCCTGAGTTCTCTTCTTTTCATACATCTTCATTTTCCTACTGAGCCAACAGTAGGTCCTAACAGATTCTATATTCGAGATGCAAGTGGAGTTCCCATTACAAACCATACACAAAGGGAAACAGCTAAACTCTGAGTAACAACATTATCCGAAACGGACTGGAATTATCCTATCTTAACAACGGACCGCAAACATCCTGGATCTACCCTCAATGATAAGATGACAGTTTACAGCTTACAGGACTTGAAGATCTCTTCCTCAGACTAGTTTAACTCAGAGGGTTTTCAATTACACACCTCTGAAAGAAGGTTTACAATGAAAGAGGAAACATCGGTTTCCTCAAATATCAACTTATGGATAGGATTAACAAACAAACAAAACACCACAAAACAAAAACCCAAGATATAACTTTCAGAAAAGTATCAATAAGGCGGACCAGATTCTGAATCTAAAAGTGTGTCTCTGCAGATGAAATCTGCTCCAACTGAAAACTTGCAAGAACAGTTGCATTTTGAGCTGTCATTAATCATTTCTACCAAATATAAATAGCTAAACGGTAGCTTCTTAGACAACCTAAATCTGCACAGTTCAGACACAGTGGGACACAGGCAGTACTCAGCCCTCTGTAGAGAGACATCAGAGTTATGAGACCTATCCCCATACCTGATTTTTATCAGTGGTCAGAACGGAACTGAAGATTCAGTTCTGGTGACGAATTCAAACACAAGTCTATTTCTTGAAAGGGATTCTTTTTTTCTGTTTTTGCAAAGGCTTCTTAACATGCAGAAATTGCATTAAAAAAACATGTTTTTTGTTAAATTTTATAAATTAAATCAATGTTTTTCCTGGTAGAAAGAGCATTTTTTTCAAGGAAGTAAAATCTCACACTTTTAACTCACTCTTCTCCCACAATATTTGATGCGATCCATCTTATAATACCTTCTCCACGTATTTCTTTACTCTCCTTCAACTTGCAACAGACTCTTCGTAGGCTTAAACTGATACCCTGTGTCTACTGATCTCAGTGGCTTTGGGCTGACTTCAGCGTGGCTGGATTTTCCCACTGGAGACAGGAAGCTACACCGCGTCCACACGAATTGTTTCTTCATGCCATCTACAAGTATTGGTTCCACCCAAATAATTTCAGGCTACCAAATAACATTAGTTTGTTTGTTTCCTTGTGTTCAGTGCCTCAAAAAAGTGATCTTTCCATAGCTCTATTTTTATTTTTATTATTATTATTATTATTAACAGAACCTCATTTAAGTCTCCCCACTACATTTCCATTTCTTCACTGGTTTTGGTTCATTTCATACATGATTGTATACCCAAAACAAGTCTAAGATGGTATCCAGTATTCAAGGAGATAGTGCCCTCTAGCACACAACCAGCATCCATCCCAATTTGATTGCTCATGCTATAAAATTCCATAAATTTTATGTCATAAAACTGTAATCTTGTTACATTAAGCAAAATACCTCAGAAACATTTCAGATACCCACAAAAGCTTTTGGAGAAATGGCTTATCCATGTCTTCAAAAGTGACAAACACGGATGTGTCAGGAGAAAAAGAAATGAGGCTATAAATCTTAACTTGTTGGAAGTTAATTAAGGGATTCATCAATCACTGCACAGCTCACCCCATACATATACAGGCAAAATCCCGTCAGCTGCCACAACCCACAGCAATCTACAGGTTAAAAACTCCCAAAGTCCCTCTG